CCGGGGCCAGCCCCGCTCCTGCCCCCCCCCCGTTGGCCGCTTGCTCGGCGCCGCGTCCCCGAGGGCCTCCTCCTCCTCGCCCTCCTCCTCCTCCTCGCCCTCCTCCTCCTCGCCCTCCTCCTCCTCCTCGCCCTCCTCGCCCTCCTCCTCCTCGCCCTCCTCCTCCTCCTCCTCCTCCTCCTCCTCGCCCTCCTCCTCCTCCTCGCCCTCCTCGCCCTCCTCGAGATGTCCTCCTCGCCCTCCTCCGGACGATCCCTGCGATATCGGCCCGCTGGTCTCCGCGGCCCGTGGCCGTGCGAGGCGGGGCCCCCGCCAGCAGCAGCGCCGCCGTGGCCTGAAGTCGGGCCTGTCCCTCTGCAGGGGAGACTTCAAAAGTGGTAAAGAAAAGTCATAATCCAAAAAATACCCCCCCCCCCCCCAAAAAAAACACCAAAAATACAAGGGAGTGTTCAAAAGTGGCTAACAATATCTTAGAAAGAATACAAGGGGAGACTTCAGAAGTGGTAAAGAAAAAAACATAATCCAAAAATACCCCAAACACACACACACACACACACACACACACACACACACACACACACACACACAAAAAAAAAAACACCAAAAATACAAGGGAATGTTCAAAAGTGGCTAAAAATATCCAAGAAAGACCAGACAAAAATTGTCCAAAAATAGTGTGGGGACGAATTTTTAGCATTTTTCAACTTTTTGGATGTATTTGTTGAGTATCTTTTTATATTATTCGTCGAAAATCCCCCTGTAGGGGGACACGCCCGACTTAACCTTGGCCGTCCCCTTCCCGTCCGAGCGGCTCGCTGCACCCTTGCGCTGGCCGCCCTGGACGGCCCACGTAGGCTTGTCCATCAGGCTTGGCCAGCACGAGAGGGAGGTTCTCGAAGTGAGACCGTGCAGGGATGTGAAGTTCTGCCTCCCTTGCGGCTTGAACCTCAGAAAGCCGACAGGGGAAGAAAGGGGCCATCTGGAACGTCACGAATGAGTGTCGTGCTGAGCTGAGACCTGCAAAGAGCCCGACGCGAAGGAGCCTAGCACATGGTTATACGCCGAGCTTCTGCTCTGAAACTTACTTTCCCATACGAAACAGGACGTTCCGTGAACAACTTTAACCAGGAGTGTCTTGAAGCCGTGGAAGTTGTGGACGACATTGACGCTTAGTCGAGAGCCATGCAGTACAGCCCTCGATAGAACAGCGAATATCTTCTGCCTGCCCACCAGGAGTCTCCGAAGCCTCTGAGACCGCTGCCGGTGGGGACATCCCAGGAGGAGGGACCAGAACAGAAAGCCAGGACGCCCGAGCCACCGCGAGGTCATCATCGGTGAACCAACCAATCCCTCGTCCCAAGAGACCTTCCAGAGCTCCTCGAAGTCACTGGACTGCCCATGGGTTTGCCGCGGAGATGGGGTGGCCACCAGGAGGAGGAGGAGGAGGAGGAGGAGGAGGAGGAGGAGGAGGAGGGAGGTGGAGGGAGGTCGGAGGAGGACGACGACGAGGAGGGGGAGGAGGAGGGAGAGGAGGAGGAGGAGGAGGAGGAGGAGGAGGAGGAGGAGGAGGAGGAGGAGGGGACGGGGAGGGGGAGGGGGAGGGGGAGGGGGAGGGAGGAGGAGGAGGAGGAGGAGGAGGAGGAGAGGAGGAGGAGGAGGAGGAGGAGGAGGAGGAGGAGGAGGAGGAGGGGAAGGAGGAAGGGAGTATGATGAGGGATGAGTGGTGGTTGCAGGTTTGGTGTCTGGATTGCGTGCTCCACGCGGCGTGTACATACGTGGGCGGGCACGGCGGCGCTACATTACTGTGTCGCCCGCGCGAGCCTGACTCCGCTCCTTTGACAGGGCCGCCGATGCGCAAATCGCGCACCCGTGGTCTGCACACCGCGCGCTGCGCGATCTCTAGGCCAGTGCAGGAGCTGCTCTAGGATTGCCTGACGTCCTCCGAATCTGCCGGCAAGGATTCATCGAGGCACGCTGGCCATCCCAGCAAAGCCTTAGCTCTGGGGTGACCCCGTGCCCCGGATGATCATGTATACCCCACCCCCGTAAGTCCCCGCTTCGGATCATCCCCGGTCAAGACATGATTGGTCGGCGGTGGGGGGCGGCGAGGCCGCACTTGCTCATCACAGTTGTCATCTTCTGATCGTGAGTAGCAGTATTACCCAGGGACGTAGATTTCGAGCCCTCGAGGGCAGGGGGGGCCGAAGCCAAGGTCCCTGGGCCCACCACCTCCCAGGGACGCCCACCACCTCCCATGGACGTAGATTTCGAGCGCTCTGGCGCGTGGGAGACCGAAATCGAGGTCCCTGGAGTCCTTATGCTGCGACCTGCCTGGAAAAAGTTGTACGATCCCCCCGCAACCCTGAACTTTATTATCCCCGGGGATTCTCCCCAGGAGTGTAGGGTCAATTGCGAGTCAGCAATCACCGATCACTGGGGGAGTATAGATGTCTGGGGAGGGTGGAACTTCCCCTGAACCGAGCAGGTTCCAGCCAAGGTACACACTCTTGACACTCCTGACTGAAAATGGTGCTACTGTTCTAGCGCTGATAAGATTATTGGCGCCTCGCTTATTCCCACCTGCCTTGCGGTAGGTCCTGCTGGTGCCTGCGCGCGCGCCGGCAATTAGCTCCGCTCGTAACCCGAGCTGACTCGACTCGCCGCTGGCGCCTTCGCCTGCGGTTGCGACAAAAAAATCCCACCAGCCCATCCAGAAAAAGCGCCCAGGAAAGTTGCCTTGATCAGGGAAGTGTAGAGGAAGTTGTGGAACAAAGAGGAGGGCAGCCGTCAAACCGAAGATCCGGGTTAGCTTGAGCAGGCCTAGGAATCAACCATAATTGCAGTCGCGGGTCTTTCGATATGGTAGCCCCGTAGTAGCTTACTTGAGCCCTCTGGGGTCCAGTTTGGAGGCCTTTCGGGCTCTCTGGGGGCCCCCTTGGGGCCATCTTAGAGGCCATCGGTCAAAGGAAGAGGGACCCATCGATGAGGCCATCTTGGGGGCCGTCAACACAAGGCGCGCGGGTGCTCTCCAGCTACACAGCCGCGCAAGCGACGCAATGGCCAGCTACGCCCACCGGCGCCTACCCACAGAAGAGTGCCGAAGGCGAGCGGCCACACCAGCAGCGCGCAGGAGATAGAGCCAGGGATCGAACCTGGCTGGAAGGCACGATCGGTGCTGTGGCTCGAGCGCATGCCGGCCCCCACGAACAAACGTTCCCAGCTGCGGGGCAGCATCGGCTGGTCGCATTGGGCAAGGAGCTTATCCCTGGCCTCTCCCAGCGGCGGGGAGTCGTTACGATCCACAGCCCTGGCCAGGGTCAGCTCAGCTCATCTCGCGTACGGGCCGACCACAAGCCAGCCAGCAAGGCCCCCAGGGTTCACAGTATCCGTTCGGGCTGCGGCTCCTGAGCCATGGGTGAGTTGCGCCGAGCACCTGACGCTGAGGCCTCGCTGCGAGCACTCTAACACCTCACTGCGGGTGCCCCTGTGTAGCCGGTGTGTTGCAGAAGGACATTCTCCATTGTCTTGTTGCCCTGACTCGAATATGGGTGGTCCGCTACCATCTGGCTCACAGCGGACCCGCGAACTTGTTTAGTATTAAGAGAGAAAAAGGCCTCTTCTCTGCTATCTCTCATGTTACCGCTACCGCCATGCCTCTTACACCCCACCACTGCAACCCGCAATTATAGTTCCTCCTCTTCCTCCGCCTCCTGCTCCTCCTCCTCCTCCTCCTCCTCCTCCTGCTCCTCCTCCTCCTCCTCTCCTCCTCCTCCTCCTCCTCCCTATCTCCTCTCCTCCTTCCTCCCTCCTCCCCTTTTTCCTCCTTTCATCATCATCACCACCACCCATCATCATCATCATCAGCAGCATCAGCATCAGCATCATAATCATCATCATCAGCATCACCATCATCATCATCATCATCATCATCATCAGCATCATCATCATCATCATCATCATCATCATCATCATCATCATCATCATCATCATCATCATCATCATCATCTGGTGGATTTCGCCGAAGGCTGGGAGCGAATGCGGCCTTCTGAGGACCTCGCCTTTCAGTCGTGGGCCCTTTTACAGATTACACGTAAGAGTGACCCTTCGCCACAATGACCTTCTGGTGCGGGTCCCATGGGGTCCCCGGATGGCTGAACGCGCTGCGAAAGCAGCGGCCTGCGCGCTTGATGGTGGTGCCCCCGAGGGGTCCCCCTTGGGCCGCGCACCAAACGCCACGCCTGCCTACAGTGCCGTTTTTTATACATGCTCCGCGTGCGGATCATGTAAGAAAAATGCAAGGAAATAGCATTAAAAACAACGATGAGTGCATGCATAAATTCATTCATAAATCAATCACGTATCAAAATCCTACATTTTGAAAATCCTATTATTTAAAAAATCCTTGTTGGGCCACGTCTCCGGGTGGCCGATCTCCGTCGGGGGCCCTCCGCCGCCTCCGACGGGGCCTTCCGAGGCTGCCCTGCAGAGAGAGCGGGGGCCCGGTCGGGGGCATCCCCCCCCCGTGAGGGCCCCTCCCGTGCGGACGCCCGCCCGAGGGGAATCGGCGCCCGTCCGCGGGCGTCCGGCCAGGCGTCGCGCAGGAGCTGCCAGGCGTTGCGGGGGTGCCCATCGAGGCCCATCGAGGCCCAGAGGGCTCCATCGAGGCCCTCCGAGGCCCAGAGGGCTCGAGAGCCTCGATGGAGGGTTCCATCGAGGCCCATCGAGGCCCAGAGGGCCCTCCTGGGCCTCTGGACCCATCGAGGCCTCTGGGCCTCGATGGGCGTAGTCTGGGAGACTCCCAGAGTACGCTCATCGAGGCCCAGAGGGCTCCAGAGCCCGAAGCAGAAAGACAAACAGAAAAATGCGGAGACTGAAACCTTCAGAGCTCCGCGCAGATCTCTTGGACCAGCGCTGGGCCACCTTGGCCGCGCCACTGGCGCGCTCCGCGCCCCAGGGAGGGGGGGGGAGGGGGGCAGCCCGAGTATGAGAAATCCGCGCGGGCCCTCGAAAGGTTCTATTCGTGCCGTTGCCCTGCTTCCAGGAGTGGCGCGGGAGGCCGGGGGCACGCCAGGGACACCCCAGGCAGCTTCCCATCCGAAGCTCCCGCTCGATTTGTCCCTCCTGCCGAGCACTGGCTGTCAGCCGCGGTGCCTTTCCACGTCCGATGGGCTTCCGCGCGCCCGCGGGCGGCGCTCCAATCGGCCACGGGTATACGGGGCCCGTGAGCCGATCCACCAGATCCAGTCTCTCCCTCGCCTCGGGGGTGGACAGAACCCCCAACAGTGACACGTCGATTAGTGATTTGTCCGTTTTCGGTTCTCGAGAGGGCGCCGTGGCCGTTATTTTCCAGGCTTGCGCCCGCCAGGTTTGGGCCTCAGGTCGTTTTCACTAAACCACGTTTTACTAAAGGGGGGTCTGTCCATCCCCGATCGCCATCCTTAGAAAAGAAAGACGCCATAAACATAAACATGAACTTTTGGCGCTCCTCGCGGATTTCTTGGATCTGCGCTGGACACCCCTCCCTGGCGCGCGGAGGGCGCCAGGGGCGGCGCCAGATGCTTCGCCGAGGGGGCCCCAGCGCGGATCCAAGAAATCCGCGCGGGGCGCCGAAAGTTCATGTTTATGCCGTATGTTTTTCTCCGAATGTTGCCCACACTCCCCTCCAGACCTTCCTGGGGCCCACCTGAAGGATTTGTTCGACTCCAGTTCGACCCAGGTTCGACTCAGGGTCGACGCAAATTGACGGACGCTCGACGCAGCTTCGACGCAAGAGTGGAGCGAGTGCCTCCAGGAAGGCCCCCACTATGAGCACTCAACTGCCTCACCATCCTGCCCCTTGCTCCCCTCCGGACCTCTCGAGGACCGATTCCCAGGGGCCACGGTCCCTCGCCCCGCACGGCGCCGTCGCGCAGGTGGTGGCGAGGCACGCGTCTTGATTTTTGCTCAGGACGCTCGGGGGCGCCCTCTGGTGGTCTCTGCCGCCGGCGCGCGGCCTCCGTCGGATCGCGGGACGCCCTCGCCCCCGCCGCCAGACCCAGCGCGAGGCGCCGATGGAGCCTGGCCAACGCCGCAGGGGGTCGGCTTGGGAGGGGGGTGGGCGTCATTCATCGGGGCTGGACAGAACCCTCACCCTGGCACGTCGACTCGTGAATGGTCCGTTGCCGGTGCTCGAGAGGGCGCCGCGGCCGGCGTTTTCCAGGCTTGCGCCCGCCGGGTTTGGGCCCGAGGCCGTTTTCACTAAACCACGTTTTGCTAAAGGGGGTTCTGTCCATCCCCGGATTCAGCCGCGCGCAGAAGAAGGTGGGGGGAGAGGGGAGGGCTTTTTGGAAGCGCCCTTGCTTCTCAGAAGGCGAGGGCCTCGTCTGTGGATGTAAGGCCGGCGCCTTCCAAGAAGCAGCCTCCTCCGAAGAAGCCCTCGCCCCTTTCCCCACCCTTAGTAGGCCCCGGAAACGGCAGGGCCGTTTTTCACCGTTTCCGAAAAAAGTGCCCCTTGCAAATGGAAACGGCAAAAAAAAGCCACCGGAAACGGCAACAAAAACGGCTCCAGGACTTGAACCGGAGCGGGAACCCGTACAAGAACGGCGACGGAACCGGTCAAAAAAACGGCGTCGGAACCGGCAACAAAAACGGCAAAACGGAGCGTGCGCGCCGCCCGGTCACGGCCGGGGCAATGGCATCTCTCGGGCCTTCCGCGCGGCTCGCGGCCCACCTCCGCCCGCGCACACGCCCCGGGCCAGGGTGCGCACACGCCTCGCGGAGCCACACGGAGCCTCGGCCCGCACGGAGAGCGCGCCCGGTCTCCGCGCGGACTCGTCCCGGCGGGGCTCGGCCTCGCCCTGGTTCGACTAGGACGTGAGAGTGACCTTTCGCCGGAGTGACCTTTGGTGCGGGCACAGATGGGTCCCCAGAGGGCTGAAAACGAGGCAGGAGCAGCGGCATGCGCGCCCAGGTTTTGGTCCCCCCGCGGCCCCCACAAGGCCGCGCACCAGAGGTCACTCTCACCCAGGGTCACTCTTGCGTGCAGCCGACTTGTAGGATCAAGTCGGGCAGGTCCTTCCACAGGAGGCATGCTCAAGAACTGTCCAGAGACGGTATGGGGGCGATGGTCAGTGGGTTTTGACCAGCTCTGGATATTGGAACGAGCGTGTTCTCGCGCTGCTGGCGGAAAACTGGGGGGGGGTACTACCGCTTCGAACCCCCCCCCCTCCCTCCGGAAAACCGGGGAGGAGGGTCACTACCGGTTCGAACCCCACCCCCCCCCCAAGGCCATCATGAAAAGGGGGGGGGGGTCACCCCCCCTCCCCCTCGAAAACCGAGGGGGTACAGTGGGACAGTAGTGGTACAGTGGGGACAGTGGGAAACATGTGGGGGGACCGTGGGGGAAGAAAGTGGGGAGAGTGGGACCTTGGTGGGCAATGGTGGGGAGAGAGGGGGCATTGACCCACGGTGGGGCACTGGTGGGGACAGGCTGGGCAATGGTGGGAACAGTGGGGACCCCGACCCCCCCCTCCTCCACCCCCCTCCTCACTCAGACACTTATCCCCCCAGCAGCAGCCACACTCCAGTCCCCTACTCCCAGCCAGCCAGTGGGACAGTGGTGGGGACGGCGGTGGTGGGGACGGCGGTGGTGGGGACACTGGTGTGGGGACAGTGGGAATGTGGTGGAAACAGTGGGACAGTGGAGGGTACAGTGGTGGTGGGGACAGTGGTGGGGGCGGTGGCGAGGACGGCGGTGGGACAATGGGACAGAGGTACAGTGGGGACAGTGGTGGGGACAGTGAAGACAGTGGTGGGAACAGTGGGACAGCTCAGTGGGAAAGCGGAGGAGACAGTGGGACAGTGGGGACAGTCGGGCAGTGGTTGGGGCCGTGGAGAAAGTGGGGAGAGTGGAACCGTGGTGCGAACAGTGGTGGGGATAGTGGGGACAGTGCGACACTGGTGGGGGCACTGGTGGGGACAGTAGGGACGGTGGTGGAACCAGCGGGGGCAGTGGTGGTGAGGACAGTGGTGCTGGGTACAGCAGTGGGGGATGCGGGGTGGACGGTGGTAGGGACGGGGAGTCATTTGCTGGCGGTGAGCGTGGAAGGGGGGGGGAGGGTTCGAACCGGTTTCGAGGGGGAGAAGGGGGTTCGAACCGGTAGTGACCCCCCCCCAGTTTTGCAGAGGGGAAGGGGGGGGGGTTCGAGCTGGTAGTGTCCCCCCCGGTTTTCGAGAGGGGGGGGGGGGAGGGGTTCGAACCGGTAGTGACCCCCCTCTGGTTTTCTGGAGGGGGGGAGGGGTTCGAACCAGTAGTGACCTTCCTTTGGTTTTCGGGGAGGGGGAGGGGGTCGTATGGGGCCAGGGGAAGTGGCGGAGGGGGGGGGGGGCCAGCAGAGGGGGGGGGGGATTTTCGGAGGGGTGGGGAACCCCGGGTTCCGGAGGAAGAGGGGGGAATGTTCCACAGTAAAGCGGCGGTGGATCACGCTCTCTCGGATATTGCAATTGTGGAAAATCTGTTTTCCAGAACCCGCATGTAGCAGGACATGCCCGACCTAAAGGTAGGATGCCAAGTCCAAACGGGGTAGGTCCGCACGCAGCGTTCGGTTTCCGTTCGGCGGCCATCGAGGGGGGGAAGTGACAGAAGGCGGCGGGGCTTCTCGGAACACCTCGCGTTTTCTGAGAGGTTTCCTGCGTCTTGGGGGCAGGTTCAGAAAACTTCTCAGAAGGCCAGGGGGCTTCTTGGAAGGCCTCGCGCCTTCTGAGAGGTTTCTTGCGTCTTGGGGGCAGGTTCGGAAAACTTCTCAGAAGGCCGGGGGGCTTCTCGGGAGGCCTCGCGCCTTCTGGGAGGGTTCTTGCGTCTTGGGGGAAGGCTCAGAATCCTGCTCAGAAGGACGGGGAGCTCCCGAGCCTTCTGAGGAGGCCCGCCCCTTCTTTCAGGCGATCGCAAACATGGATCAAGGGGGCGTGGATTAGCGACGGGTCCCGTTTCCACGGGAAATCGCGGATTCCCGCCGCCGAACGAGGCGGCACGGGCCGCATGTTTGGGAGGGCACCTCCCCCGATCCATGTCCGCGCGTCCCCGCTTCTCGCCTCCCCCCCGGGCTCGCCGCCGATCCGTGTGCCTCCTCCTCCTCCTCCTCCTCCTCCTCCTCCTCCTACTACTACTACTACTACTACTACTACTACACTACTACTACTACTACTACTACTACTACTACTACTACTACTACTACTACTACTACTTACTTTACTACTACTCCTTACTAACTAACTACTACTACTACTACTACTACATACTACTACTACTACTACTACTACTACTACTACTACTACTACTACTACTACTACTACTACTACTACTACTACTACTACTACTACTCTACTCCTACTCCTACTCCTATCCTTATTCCTTATTAGAATATACTCCTACTCCCCCCTCAGGCCGGCAGATAGCGGGCGCATCCGGGTGGTCCCATCCTAACATGTGAAAAACAAGACAAAATCATCATTGTTTTATTTTCTCCTCTCGACATGGACGTCCTGTCGTCCACGGCGATAATCCATTGCAAAAAATACCACAAAGAGCACACGCGCGCGTTCATGTCAGAATCCTACCGAACACCGTGTGTTTGCAAGCATTTCAACATAAAAACATCAAAAACCCAATGCTTTTTCACAAAAAAATGTACAAATTTCCCGCCCGGGCTCTCTTGCTGAAATCATAGGAAAACCATAGGAATCTTAAGAATTCTGTCAAATCCAGCGATTTCACGTCATCGCGCGGTGCACTCGCGATGCTCTGTCATGCACCCAGGCCGCGAATCCTGTGCAAAAAATATTACAAAGAGCACACTCGCGCGTTCATGTCATAATCCTACCGAACACCGTGTTTTTGCAAGCATTTCAACATAAAAACATCAAAAACCCAATGCTTTTTCACAAAAATGCTTTGGGGTGTCCTGTCAGACCGTCGGGCTTCCTCCGGCCACCTCTGGCTTCCTGCGGTGTACCGGGCCATTCTCGACTCGTCTGGCAATGCGTGCGCGGCATTCAACACGCGCTCGCCAGTTCCCGTCGGCAACCGCCATCGCGGCCGCATCAGCTGTACCAAACCGGCTGGCCGGTGTGACTTCGGCCCCCAGTTGTGCCAGCTTTGCTTCTTATGTTGTGGGAGGGCGGGTGGGACTGGGCATGCCATGCTTGACTCGCTCGAGCTGGCTAGCTTGACTCCTACTCCTACTCCTATCCTTATTCCTTATTAGAATATACTCCTACTCCCCCCTCAGGCCGGCCGATAGGGGCCGCATCCGGGTGGTCCCATCCTAACCTGTAAAAAACAATACAAAATCAACATTTTTCTTATTTTTTCCTCTCGACATGGACGTCCTGTCGTCCACGGCGATAATCCATTGCAAAAAATACCACAAAGAGCACACGCGCGCGTTCATGTCAGAATCCTACCGAACACCGTGTGTTTGCAAGCATTTCAACATAAAAACATCAAAAACCCAATGCTTTTTCACAAAAATTGTACAAATTTCCCGCCCTGGCTCTCTTGCTGAAATCATAGGAAAACCATAGGAATCTTAAGAATTCGGTCAAATCCAGCGATTTCACGTCATCGCGCGGTGCACTCGCGATGCTCTGTCATGCACCCAGGCCGCGAATCCTGTGTAAAAATATTACAAAGAGCACACTCGCGCGTTCATGTCAGAATCCTACCGAACACCGTGTGTTTGCAAGCATTTCAACATAAAAACATCAAAAACCCAATGCTTTTTCACAAAAATGCTTTGGGGTGTCCTGTCAGACCGTCGGGCTTCCTCCGGCCACCTCTGGCTTCCTGCGGTGTACCGGGCCATTCTCGACTCGTCTGGCAATGCGTGCGCGGCATTCAACACGCGCTCGCCAGTTCCCGTCGGCAACCGCCATCGCGGCCGCATCAGCTGTACCAAACCGGCTGGCCGGTGTGACTTCGGCCCCCAGTTGTGCCAGCTTTGCTTCTTATGTTGTGGGAGGGCGGGTGGGACTGGGCATGCCATGCTTGACTCGCTCGAGCTGGCTAGCTTGACTCCTACTCCTACTCCTACTCCTATCCTTATTCCTTATTAGAATATACTCCTACTCCCCCCTCAGGCCGGCAGATAGCGGGCGCATCCGGGTGGTCCCATCCTAACCTGTAAAAAACAATACAAAATCAACATTTTTCTTATTTTTTCCTCTCGACATGGACGTCCTGTCGTCCACGGCGATAATCCATTGCAAAAAATAACACAAAGAGCACACGCGCGCGTTCATGTCAGAATCCTACCGAACACCGTGTGTTTGCAAGCATTTCAACATAAAAACATCAAAAACCCAATGCTTGTTCACAAAAATTGTACAAATTTCCCGCCCGGGCTCTCTTGCTGAAATCATAGGAAAACCATAGGAATCTTAAGAGTTCTGTCAAATCCAGCGATTTCACGTCATCGCGCGGTGCACTCGCGATGCTCTGTCATGCACCCAGGCCGCGAATCCTGTGCAAAAAATACCACAAAGAGCACACTCGCGCGTTCATGTCAGAATCCTACCGAACACCGTGTGTTTGCAAGCATTTCAACATAAAAACATCAAAAACCCAATGCTTTTTCACAAAAATGCTTTGGGGTGTCCTGTCAGACCGTCGGGCTTCCTCCGGCCACCTCTGGCTTCCTGCGGTGTACCGGGCCATTCTCGACTCGTCTGGCAATGCGTGCGCGGCATTCAACACGCGCTCGCCAGTTCCCGTCGGCAACCGCCATCGCGGCCGCATCAGCTGTACCAAACCGGCTGGCCGGTGTGACTTCGGCCCCCAGTTGTGCCAGCTTTGCTTCTTATGTTGTGGGAGGGCGGGTGGGACTGGGCATGCCATGCTTGACTCGCTCGAGCTGGCTAGCTTGACTCCTATCCTTATTCCTTATTAGAATATACTCCTACTCCCCCCTCAGGCCGGCCATTAGGGGCCGCATCCGGGTGGTCCCATCCTAACCTGTAAAAAACAATACAAAATCAACATGTTTCTTATTTTTTCCTCTCGACATGGACGTCCTGTCGTCCACGGCGATAATCCATTGCAAAAAATACAACAAAGAGCACACGCGCGCGTTCATGTCAGAATCCTACCGAACACCGTGTGTTTGCAAGCATTTCAACATAAAAACATCAAAAACCCAATGCTTTTTCACAAAAATTGTACAAATTTCCCGCCCGGGCTCTCTTGCTGAAATCATAGGAAAACCATAGGAATCTTAAGAATTCTGTCAAATCCAGCGATTTCACGTCATCGCGCGGTGCACTCGCGATGCTCTGTCATGGACCCAGGCCGCGAATCTTGTGCAAAAAATGCCACAAAGAGCACACTCGCGCGTTCATGTCAGAATCCTACCGAACACCGTGTGTTTGCAAGCATTTCAACATAAAAACATCAAAAACCCAATGCTTTTTCACAAAAATGCTTTGGGGTGTCCTGTCAGACCGTCGGGCTTCCTCCGGCCACCTCTGGCTTCCTGCGGTGTACCGGGCCATTCTCGACTCGTCTGGCAATGCGTGCGCGGCATTCAACACGCGCTCGCCAGTTCCCGTCGGCAACCGCCATCGCGGCCGCATCAGCTGTACCAAACCGGCTGGCCGGTGTGACTTCGGCCCCCAGTTGTGCCAGCTTTGCTTCTTTTGTTGTGGGAGGGCGGGTGGGACTGGGCATGCCATGCTTGACTCGCTCGAGCTGGCTAGCTTGACTCCTACTCCTACTCCTACTCCTACTACTCCTACTCCTACTCCTATCCTTATTCTTATTAGAATATACTCCTACTCCCCCCTCAGGCCGGCCGATAGGGGCCGCATTCGGGTGGTCCCATCCTAACCTGTAAAAAGCAATACAAAATCAACATGTGTCTTATTTTTTTCTCTCGACATGGACGTCCTGTCGTCCACGGCGATAATCCATTGCAAAAAATACCACAAAGAGCACACGCGCGCGTTCATGTCAGAATCCTACCGAACACCGTGTGTTTGCAAGCAGTTCAACATAAAAACATCAAAAACCCAATACTTGTTTCACAAAAATTGTACAAATTTCCCGCCCGGGCTTTCTTGCTGAAATCATAGGAAAACCATCGGAATTTTAAGAATTCTGTCAAATCCAGCGATTTCACGTCATCGCGCGGTGCACTCGCGATGCTCTGTCATGCACCCAGGCCGCGAATCCTGTGCAAAAAGTACCACAAAGAGCACACTCGCGCGTTCATGTCAGAATCCTACCGAACACCGTGTGTTTGCAAGCATTTCAACATAAAAACATCAAAAACCCAATATTTTTTCACAAAAATGTTTTGGGGTGTCCTGTCAGACCGTCGGGCTTCCTCCGGCCACCTCTGGCTTCCTGCGGTGTACCGGGCCATTCTCGACTCGTCTGGCAATGCGTGCGCGGCATTCAACACGCGCTCGCCAGTTCCCGTCGGCAACCGCCATCGCGGCCGCATCAGCTGTACCAAACCGGCTGGCCGGTGTGACTTCGGCCCCCAGTTGTGCCAGCTTTGCTTTTTATGTTGTGGGAGGGCGGGTGGGACTGGGCATGCCATGCTTGACTCGCTCGAGCTGGCTAGCTTGACTCCTACTCCTCCTCCTCCTCCCTCCTCCTCCTCCTCCTCCTCCTCCTCCTCCTCCTCTCGTCCTCCTCCTCCTCCCTCCTCCTCTCCTCCTCCCTCCTCCTCCTCCTCCTCCTCCTCCTCCTCCTCCTCCTCCTTCTCCTCAGCCGGCCGTGGGCTCTCTGGATGGCCCCCCCCCCTCTGGGCGGCGCACCCTGCAGCGAGGGCCCTTGCGGGCCACGGGCGCACCGTGCCGGGGGAAGCGCGAGCCGCGGCGCTCCCTCGCGGAGGCGCGGTCGCGCTCCCGCGCCGGCGGCACGCGAGCACCGCCCTCCCCAGACATCTCCGGTCCTCGATCTTCGACCCTCCTCGGTCCCCGAGATCCTCCTCCTCGGCCCTCGGCCCTCGGCCCTCCTCCTCGCCCCCCGCTCCTCCTCCCCGACCCTGGGAGCGTGCGCCTCCCCGATCCGAAACGCCGGCGCCGGCGATGACATCGCCGGTGCCGGCGTTTCGGATCGGAGGGGCGCACGCTCCCAGGGTCGGGGAGGAGGAGCGGGGGGCGAGGAGGAGGGCCGAGGGCCGAGGAGGAGGATCTCGGGGACCGAGGAAGGTCGAAGATCGAGGATCGCGGTTCCTGGATGGCGTCGGCCCTCTTTGTGCCTCCCTGGGCTTCTCCAGGTACTTGGGCGCCGGATGCCGCCAGAGGCCGCCAGAGACTCAGACTTCTTGTTTGCGATATCCGGCGCAGAAATCCGCGCCGCAGAGCTTTCTGCCTTGTGTGCCGCGCAGGTCGACGACAAGGGGAGGGACTGGCTCTCAGTCGGACATGTCCTTTTGCAGGAGGAACATGCATGTTTGAAAACCCCCAAAAATGGGGAGGATGTTTCGAATGTTTTTGGCTGTACTATTTGAGCATTTGCTGTTCTTCATTTGTCCCCCAAGATCCGCCTGCAGGAGGACATGCCCGACCTCAGACTAAGTCGGGCCTGTCCTTCTTCTATAGGAGGAAAAGTCCACAATAGTCTGAAAATAGCTGGGGGCGATCCTTGGACATTGTTTGACTATTTGGGGGTAGTTATGTTTTGAGTATTCTTTGTTTCTCGTCCAGAATCCGCCTGTAGGGGGAGAGGCCCGACCTAAGGCCTGAGATTGGGTCAGGGCTCAGCAAATCGCCCGGGCCTCGCCGGCCCAGGCCCGGGTGCCCCAGGCTGCCCAGGAGCGCACGGGGGCTCCCCCTCGGGGCCCCCTCGCCGATTCCTCGGGCGATGCGTCGCCGAATTTCGGGCTGGAGTTGAGTCGAGCCTGTCCCTCTACAGGAGGGATGTTCAAAGGTGATCCAAGGATAGGCCGGGGACGTTGCTTCGAGTATTTTGGAGCCATTTGGGGGCTATTCGGGGGGGCCTTTCCGGGGTCCTCCAAAAGCCGCCTGTAGGGGGACATGCCCGACCTGAGGCCAGTGCTCCCCCCCCCTGCCCCCAGAGCCTCGCCCCCAGAGGTAACCCTAAATTCTTAATCCTGTCATTACTAAACCCTGAACACCGAAAAAACGGGTACATACGATAACATACGACCCAGGCATGTAAACCGGCGTCATCCCTTGCAAAAGACATTATTTCCCGATCATGCGTGCTGGAAACCCTCGCCATCCCTTGCCCAAAAAAAATGATTTCCTGATCATGCGTGCAGTAAACCCTCGCCATCCCTTACAACAACAAAAAAGTATGTCTTGACGTTCATACACCTAGGAGACTTTCCCTAACGAGGACGTACTCTTCAGGTCCCCGAAAGTTCTTCATGGTAGGGTGGTCTGCGGGTGGGACTGGCAGCCACCGCAGGTGGGCTCCTAGGCAGGAGGTGATCAGCTGCGGCAGAGCTTGTAGACCCTAAACCCTAAACCCGCCGAGCCCGTCGGTGGGCTGGGTCTGATTGTTCCTCTGGCCTCCTCCACTGCCGGCCTTTCCCCTCCGGCCTCCTCCTCCTCCTCCTCCTTCTCCTCCTCCTCCTCCTCCTCCTCCTTCTCCTCCTCCTTCTCCTCCTCCTCTGGCCCTCGGACCTCGAGCCCGCCGAGCCGCTCCGCATCGGCCCCTGGACGCCTCCGGAAGTTTGACCTCGCACGCTTTTTCGAACCGGGCCCAGCCTCGGGCACCCCCCCTGCGTCGCTCCCCCATCAACAGGAGGAGGAGGAGGAGGAGGAGGAGGAGGAGGAGGAGGAGGAGGAGGAGAGAGAGAGAGAGAGAGAGAGAGAGAAGCCTCCTCCTCCTCCTCCTCCGCCTCCTCCTCCTCCTCCTCCTCCTCCTCCTCTTCCTCCTCCTCCTCCTCCTCCTTGTCCTCCTCCGGGGCGGGGCCGCTTCCGAGCGCCGGGGGCGATGCGTCGCCGAGGTCGGGCTCGTGTTACGTCGGGCATGTCCCTCTACAGGAGGAGCATTCAAAAATAGCAAAAGCACATGGTCTGGGGACGAATGTTTGAGCATGTGTTGGCCACTTTCGGGTATTGTCGTGGCTATTTGTTTGTTTCTCTTCGAGAATCCGCCTGCAGGAAGACAGGACATGCCCGACCCAAAGCCAGTGCTTCCGCCCCCCCCCCCCCCCCGAGCCAGTCCCCCCCCCTCCATCGCTCCCCCCTCCACAGGGGGGGGCCGCTTCTGGGCACCGGGGCCTTCGAAAAACGATGCACGAGGAAGAGCCGCTCCGAGGATGGGGTCGTGGGCTCCAGCCGGGCGTTTCGCAATAGAGAGGGGGCCCAAGAGGGGCCTCGAAGGTGCACAAAAAGATGCACGTTTCTTCACCATCCGATCAAGGGGCAATCAACTCGATGAGACTCGGGTTAAGTCGGGCACGTCTCTCTACAGGGGGAATATTCAAAAATAGTGAAAAATAGTCTGGGTACGAGTTCTTGACTATTTTTGAGTATTTGGGGGGGCATTTGTGGAATATGTTTTAATTCTTCGCCCCCAAAATCCCCCTGTAGGGGGACACGCCCGACTGAAAGACTCGGGCGCCACCGGAGTTGACAGTGTCCCAAGGATGCCCGGGGAGACCCGCGCGGCCTTCACGTAGCACCCCGCGGCCGAGGCCCAGCCCCCCACGGGGGCCCCAGGGAGGCGCGAGAGGCTTGCGACGCCCTGTGCCCCAGGGCAAGGTCGTCGCCGAGTCAAGCTCGATGCTCCCGCCGCTGGGTCGGCCCCGCCGTTCCCCCTCACTTTTTTTTGGATGGTCGGCGGGTCGAGAGCGGGCCTCTTCCGGTTAAGAGCTGGGCGGGGCGCGCGAAGCGCTAATTGGAGAACGTTCCCCCTCACATGCCAGGAACACCTCTGGCAGCCCCCGAGAGATGGAGTCGACGGGGATATGGGTCATCGGCATTCGCCAACCACGGACGGCAGAGGCGGACAAACAACGGCACTGGAGGGCGGGCGGCAATCGGAGCAGGAGAGTGGCGCGGGTGCGAAGCCGCGGGCAGTTTCTCTCGCTCATGTGAGCCGGCGCAACTTGCGCTCGCCACGACGCGTGAATATCCGGTTGCCTGCGGCAGCGCCCGCCACCGTGCTTCTGCAGCAGCGCAGCAGGAGGGAGATTGAGTGATGCAGGAACGGCGCAAGTCCTACGATTGGTCTGAGCTGGGAAACGGCCGTGATCTCGACCCTTTCTTCGCCCTCGCGGTTTGAAGGAGTAAGAAGAGGAGGGTGAGGAGGAGGAGGAGGAGGAGGAGGAGGCGGAGGCGGAGGCGGAGGCGGAGGAGGAGGAGGAGGCGGAGCAGGAGGATATGGTAAATATGATAACGATGAGCGTTTGGAGGCCGTCTTAGGGGGCCTGTTTGGGCAGTTTTGGTGCCTTCTTGGAACGCTTTAGGGCCGCCTTGAGGCCCACTTGGGAGCCTCTTGGGCGTTGGGGTCCTCTTGGGCCGATGCGAGGGGCCCTCTTGGGAGCCTCGCGGGCCGTCCTGGAACTATCTTGGAGGCCTCTGCAGCCATCTTGGGCGGTCGGAGGCCCAGACAGGCGAAATTCTCAAAATCTATATATATATATATATATATATATACATATATATATATACACATATATATATATATACACATATATATATATATATATATACATACATATAAATATGTATATATGTATATATAACAAAACATCCTGCGTTGGAAATTCGTTTTGAATATAACACTGCGGTCGCACACCTCCCGCCTCCCCGCCTCCTGTCTGCTCTCTCCTGCCTCTCACCTCGCTCCTTCCTGCAATCTGCGAAGCCGTCTCCACTTTCGAAGGCTGCTGGGGGGTGCAGCGGAATGACGTCCTACGCGGATCACCAGGAGACCTCGCCATCCTTGGGGGGCTGCGATTCGCGAAACGGTCGCCACTTTCAAGGGCTGCTGGGGGGTCCAGCGGAGTGACGCCCCACGCGGATCACCAGGAGATCGCGCCATCTTTGGGGGGCTGCGATCTGCGAAACGGTTTCCATTTTCGAGGATTGTTGGTGTCAAGCGGAGTGACGTCCTACGCGGATCACCGGGTGACTTCGCCATCTTTGGCGGGGCTGCGATCTGCAAAATTGTCGTCTCTTTAGAGGGTTGCTGTGGAGTGCAGCGAAGTGACGTTCTACATGCATCACCAGGAGATCTAGCCATCCTCGGGGGGCTGCGATCTACGAAATTGTACCACTTTCGAGGGTTGCTGGGGGGTCCACCGGAGTGACGTCCTGCGCGGATCACCAGGAGACCTCGCCATCTTTGGGGGGCTGCGATCTCCGAAACAGCCATTTTCGAGGGCTGGTGGGGTGCAGCGGAGTGACGTCCTACGCGGACCACCAGGAGACCTCGCCACCCTCGGGGGGATGCGGTGTGCGAAATTGTCGTCACTTTCGAGGGCCGCTGGGAGGTGCAGCGGAGTGACGTCCTACGTGGATCCAGGAGACGTCGCCATCGTTTGGGGGCTGCGATTTGCGAAACTGTGGCCTCTTTCGAGGGCTGCTGGGGGTCCAGCGGAGCGACGCCATACGCGGATCACCAGGAGATCTCACTACCTTTGGGGGGTTGCGATCTGCGAAATTGTCGCCACGTTCGAAGGCTTCTGGGGGGTCCAGCGGAAGGACGTCCCACGCGGACCACCAGGAGACCTCGCCATCCTTAGGGGGGCTGGGATCTGAGAAATGTTTGCTATGTTCGAGGGCTGCTGGGGGGTCCAGCGGGGTGACGTCCTACGCGGGCCATTGGGGGACCTCGCCATCCCATCCTTGGGGGGGTGCGATCTGCGAAATTGTCACCACTTTAGAGGGCCGCTGGGGAGTGCAGCGGGGTGACGTCCTACGCGGGCCACCAAGAGACCTCTCCATCCTTGGGGGGCTGCGATTTCCGAAACTGTCGCCACTTTCGAGGGTTGCTGGGGGGTCCAGCGTGGTGACGTCCTACGCGGACCACCAGGAGATCTCGCCATCATTGGGGAGCTGCGATCTGCGAAATTGTCGCCACCTTCGAGGGCTGTTGGGGGGTGCAGCGGAGTGACGTCCTGCGCGGACCACCAGGAGACCTCGCCATCTTTGGGGGGCTGTGATCTGGAAATTGTCACCACATTCGAGGGCGATTGTGGGGTCCAGCGGATGACGTGTTGCGCGGGCCACCAGGAGACCTCGCCATCCTTGGTTATTCTGTGTTACGTTGGGTTTTTTCGAGTTCCGGGGGCGTCAGGGAGGAGTTTAGAAGCTGGCGGGCCAGCTAGGCTTCGCTCGCTTCTTGCACGAACCATAAGCAGGTTTGATCATGCGTTCGAGCTCCGCGGCGACATGGCGCAGGCAGCGCTGCAGATTTCACGCACCACTGACAAAAGCAACACTCTTCGGCTTCCTCCCGTCACCCTCATGGAGCGCTTTGGGGCCCTCTCTTGGGCGACGTTGTGGTCCTCTTGGGCCGTTGCGAGGGTCTCTCTTCAGAGCCTCGCAGGCCTCGCGGAAGTATCTTGGAGGTCCTTGTAGCTTGTGGCCGCCTCGTGCGATCGGAAGCCCCAAAAGGGCGAAAGCTTCAAATCCTATATATACATATATACATATATACATACATACATGTATATGTGTATATGCACATACATACATACATACATACATACATACATACATACATGCATGCATGCATGCATGCATGCAGACATACATACATACATATATACATACGTACATACATACATACATACATACGTACGTACGTACGTACGTACCTACCTACCTACATACATACATATATACATACATACATACATACATACATACATACACACACATACATTCGCATATATACATATATACATATATACATGTATCTATATATATATAGTATGTACGAACGTCACCCTCGTCGTCGTCCTCTGCCCCTCTGCTGCCTCCCCTCGCGCTGCCGCCGCGCGGGCGGGTCGGCCCTCCGCGCGCCCCTTATCCTGTGTCTCGTTCCCGCCCCCCTCTGTGGACTTGTTTCGCGCCCCTATCTTGGCTCGTGTTGCTTGTTTCTTGTTTCGCGCCCCTATCTTGTTTCTCGTTCGCGTCCCCCCCATCAGGCCTGGGCTTTCGTTCCTCGCCCTTTCTGCGGTTGCCCTGGGAGTCGTGCCGCGCGATGCGCGCGCCCCATGTACCTTGCACACAGTAGAACGGCGCCTGCACGGTCAATGTCCTGTTGGGCTTTCTTCCCTCGTCCTTCTGTGGTTGTCCTGGGAATATCGTGCCGCGCGATGAGCGCGCCCCGTGCACCCTGCACAAAACAGAACGGCGTCTGCACGATCATTGTTTTGGCGAGTTTGGGCCAACTCATCCTAGCACTCGTGTTGAATCTAGCACTGCGGTCGCACACCTCCCGCCCCCCCCTCCTGTCTCTTCTCTCTCTCTCTCTCTCTCTCTCTCTCTCTCTCTCTCTCTCTCTCTCTCTCTCTCTCTCTCTCTATATATATATATATATATGTTGCCTCTCACTTCGATCCTTCCTGCGATCTGCGAAACTTTCGCCATTTTCGAGGGTTGCTGGGACGTCCAACGGAGTGACGTCCTACGCGGATCACCAGGAGACCTCGCCATCGTTGGGGGTGTGCGATCTGCAAAATTGCCGCCACGCTGGAGGATGGTTGGGGGGCGTAGCGAAATGACGTCCTGAGCGGATCACCAGGGGAGATTTCGCCATCATTGGGGGGGGATCTGCGAAATTGTCGCCATTGTCGAGGGCTGCGGGGTCCAGCGGAGTGACGTCCTACGTGGATCACCAGGGGACCTCGTCATCCTTGGGGGGGGAGCTGCGATCTGCGAAACTGTCGCCACGTTCGAGGGTTGTTGGGGGTCCAGCGGAGTGACGTCCTACGCGGATCACCAGGAGACCTCGCCGTCCTTGGGGGGTTACGGTCTGCGAAATTGTCTCCGCGTTTGAGGGTTGTTGGGGGGTGCAGCGGGTAACGTCCTACGCAGGCCATTGGGGGGCCTCGCCATCCATCCTTGGGGGGTGTGATCTGCGAAATTGTCGCCACGTTCGAGGGCTGCTGGGGGGTCAGCGTAGTGACGTCCCACGCGGATCACCAGGAGATTTCGCCATTCTTGGGGGGGTCGCGATCTGCGAAAGTGTTGTTATTTTCGAGAGCTGTTTGGGGGTGTAACGGGGTGGCGTCTTGCGCGGATCACCAGGAGACTTCGCCATCTTTTGGGAGGCCATCTGCGAAATTGTCGCCAGGCTCGAAGGTTGTTGGGATTGCAGCAGAGTGACGTCCCACGCGGATCACCAGGAGAACTCGCCATCCGCGGTTGCGATCCGCGAAGTTGTCGCCAAGTTCGGGGGGTGTTGGGGGGTGAAGCGTAGCGATGTCTTACGCGGATCACCAGGAGACGTCGCTATCTTTGTGGCGCTGCGATCTGCGAAATTGTCACCACGTTCGGGCGTTGCTGGGGGATGCAGCGGGGTGACGTCCTGCGCGGATGACCAGGAGACCTCGCCATCTTTGGGGGGCGGCGATTTGCGAAGTTGTCACCACATTCGGGGTTTGCTGGTGGGTCCAGTGGAGTGACGTCCACGCGGATCACCAGAAGACCTCGCCATCCTTGGGGGGGTCGCAATCTGCGAAATTGTAGCTACTGTCGATAGCTGGTTGGGGGTGCAGCGGGGTGGCGTCCTGCGCTGATCACCAGGAGACCTCGTCATTCCTGGGGGCTGCGATCTGCGAAACTGTCGCCACGTTCGAGGGCTGCTGGAGGGTGCAGCGGAATGGCGTCCCACGCGGATCACCAGGAGATCTCGTTATGTTTGGGGGGTGCGATGTGCGAGATTGTCCCCACTTTCGATGGTTGTTGGTGGGTGCAGCGGAGTGACGTCTTGCGCGGACCACCAGGAGACCTCGCCATCCTTGGGGGGCTGCGATCTCTGCGAAATTGTCGCCACCTTCGAGGGCTGTTGGGGGTTGCAGCGGAGTGACGTCCTACGCTGACCACCAGGAGACCTCGCCATCCTTGGGGGGCTGTGATCTGCGAAATTGTCTCTACGTTTGAGGGCTGGTGGGGGGGGGCAGCGGGGTGACGTCATACGCGGGCCATTGGG